AAGCTACCATAACTTGCCTGGAGGATAAGAAAGGGGTAGAGGAGAAAGAGATCGTGAACAAGTGGGAAAAAAACATCTTCCCCTGACCCCTCCATAGACTGATTTATGAAGGGGGGTGGGGGCGGAACCGGGGACACTAGAAAGGAGCCTGAATGTGACATGCCAGTTCTTCTGGGTGAGGAATGTGCTAGCAAGACCTCTCAGTCTTGTGTCTTTGTGAAGGATGAGGATGACAGAACATTTTTCGGGAAGGACACAAGGGTTGGTGAGAGGTTCGTAACTATGGAAACACCTGAGTATGGTCAGGAGGGTATTAGGGCTTCTTCCTCCCAAAAGGTGACCCAGCTGAGGTGCGTTGACACTAATGCACGCAGTATGGGTAACAAACAGAAGGAGCTGGAGGCCACCGTGCTAGTAGGAAACTATGATGTAGTTGCTATCATGGAAACCTGGTGGGATGATTCCCACGACTGGAGTGTGGCCGTTGATGGCTACAAACTGTTCAGAAGGGTGTCGCGTTAAGGGGTGTAGCTGATTAACCGTTACGGGCCCGGTCGGATTCAGGGTACTGAACCAGTCAGACATTCACCAACAACACATTAACCGTCTGGGGGTCTGGTTGGATTCAGGACACTGAACTATCACGGATAACCACCCTTACCCTAGTTGCATTTAATGAGAGTTATCACAATGCAATCAAGTATGGTTTATTACAGCAACAGATAACCAGGTTCTTTTGGATTGCCGTCGATAGTGACTGTCTGCAAAAGCAAGCTAGCATGCATGAAATACACAGGTGTTGCAGGTGTTACAGGTGCGCAGCCTAGAAATAAACGCGTTAAAAAGATCAAAGACTCTAGAGAGATTTATAAGCAAGTATTCAGATCTCACCCAAAGGCGTCCCAATGGAGGGGGAAGAGAGGCTCAGCCCGTCGACTGATCCCAGGAGTCAGGAGGGTCCTAAGTATGTTGTATTTCCTCGGGATGGTATCTCCCCTGATGGTGGTATCTTCCCTGACATCCCCTCTCTCTTGGGCCAATTTATATTATTTTCTATCTTTTAGGTGGAGCTTGAGTGACTCTAGTCAAGCATATCTTAGTTATGATTGGTGAAAAGTTTTCCCGTCTCTGTTTAAAGTAATAGGCTCCGAGAAATTCAGAGCGCATGCTCAGTGAGGGGTGGTCGCACCTTGGAGGCGGGTAGCTTTTGGGATGGAGGTGTGTTTTGGTATTATAATGATAATAATATAATGAGCAAAAAGTACACTAGGGTACAGCATTTGTCAAAACATGACAGGTCCTTGGCTCAGGGTGGCAAAAAGTGCAGCTTATCGGTCTCGGTGTGCGCAAGAACAATAGAGTCCTTAGGGCTAGCACACCAAGTTTCTCCAGCGCGATAGCATCTAAGGTTTGGGAGCCTAGGGAACGCTCAGGTAATGCAGCTATGCCCTACCCTGAAAGCCTCTTCAGTGCTGTACATTTTCCTTAAAAAAATGTGAATGTTAGTCTTATTTTCCTAGTTACTTCAGGCAATTACACCACAAAGGGATAGGGGAGGAATGAGGGGAAGAGGAGTTGCCCTCTATGTTAGGAAGTGGATAGATTGTGAAGAGCTGTGCCTGAGAAACAGCCATGACCAGGTTGAGAGCTTGTGGGTGAAAATCAAGGATCGGTCCAGTAGAGGACATCTAGTGGTTGGGGTCTGCTACAGGCCACCTGATCAGGGGGAGTCTGTTGACGAGGCCTTCTTGCTTCAGCTGCAAGAACTGTTGCACTCACAAGCTCTTGTCCTGATGGGGGATTTCAACCACCCGGGTATCTGCTGGGGTAGTGGCACTGTGGGTTCCAGGCAATCCAGGAGATTCCTGGAGTCTGTTGAGGATAACTTCTTGGTCCAGGTAATAGACGGACCGACCCGAGGTGAAGCCTTACTAGACCTGGTGCTCACCAATGTGGAAGAGAGCATTAGAGAGGTTAAGATTGGAGGCTGCCTGGGCTGTAGCGACCGTGCCCTGGTGGAGTTTGTGATCTTGAGGAATATGGGTCTGGCAAAAAAGCAGAGTCAGGACCCTGAACGTGAGGAGAGCAAACTTCTGGCTGCTCAAGGAATTACTAGCTGGGATCCCCTGGGAAACTCCTTGAGGGCATAGGAATGGAACAGAGCTGGCAGCTCTTTCAGGACACCCTTCTGAGAGCGCAAGAGCTCTCCATCCCCCAGCAGAAGAAATCGAGCAGAGGAGACGGGCTACCGGTGTGGCTTAGCAAGGACCTGCAGCTTAAACTGAGGGAAAAGAGGGAAATGCGTGGGCTTCCCACAGGCAGCAGCTCTTCCAGAACTGCTCCAGATATGGGTCCGTACCACGGGGTCCATCCCTCAGGAGAAAACTGCTCCAACCTGGCTCCCCTACGGGCAGCAGCTCCTGCCAGATCACCTGCTCCTGCGTGGGCTCCTCTCCACGGGCTACAGGTCCGGCCCGGAATCTGCTCCGGCAGGGGTCTTCCACAGGCGGCAGCCTCCATCGGTGCAGGGCCACCTGCTCCACCGTGGTCTCCTCCACGGGCTGCAGCGTGGAACCCTGCTCCACCGTGGTACTCCATGGGCTGCAGGGGGACATCCTGCTTCACCATGGTCCTCACCACAGGCCGCAGGGGACTTCTGCTCCGGCGCCTGGAGCACCTCTCCCCCTCCTTCTACACTGACCTTGGCACCTGCAAGGCTGTTTCTCACTCCCTTGACTCTCCCGACTGCTGTGCTGCGCAGCGTTTTTTCCCTGTCTTAAATATGCTCTCACAGAGGCGCAAAACAACATCGCTTATTGGCTCAGCTCTGGAAAACAATGGGGCCCTTCCCAAACATGGGGTGGCTTCTAGATCTTTCTCACAGAAACCACCCCTATGGCCCCCTGCTACCAAAACCTTGCCATGTAAACCCACTACAGCAGTGCAGTCGATACAGTAGAGGGAAGGGTTGCCATCCAGAGGGACTTGGACAGGCTGGAGAGGTGGGCCCATGAGAACCTAATGAGGTTCAACAAGGCCAAGTGCAAGGTGTTGCACTTGGGCTGGGGCAATCCCAGGTATTTATATAGACTGGGCAAAGAAGAACTTGAGAGCAGCCCTGCGGAGAAGGACTTGGGGGTCCCGATGGACAAGAAGCTGGACATGAGCCGGCAGTGCGCGCTTGCAGCCCAGAAGGCCAGCTATGTCCTGGGCTGCATCAAAAAAGGGGTGGCCAGCAGGGAGAGGGAGGTGATTGTCCCCCTCTACTCTGCTCTTGTGAGACCCCACCTGGAATACTGCATGCAGGCCTGGGGCCCCCAGCACAAGAAGGATGTGGAGCTCTTGGAACAGTCCAGAGGAGGGCCACTAACATGATCAGAGGGCTGGAGCACCTCTCCCATGCAGAAAGGTTGAGGGAACTGGGCTTGTTTAGCTTGGAGAAGAGAAGGCTCCAGGGAGACCTCATTGCGGCCTTCCAGTACTTGAAGGGAGCGTATAAACAGGAGGGGGAACGCCTGTTTACATGTGTTGGTAGTGATAGGACAAGGGGAATGGTTTTAAACTAAGACAGGGGAGATTTAGGTTAGATATTAGGAGGAAGTTTTTCACTTGGAGGGTGGTGAGGCACTGGAACAGGTTGCCCAGAGAGGTTGTGGATGCCCCATCCCTGGAGGCATTCAAGGCCAGGATGGATGCGGCTCTGGGCAGCCTGCTCTAGTGGTTGGCAACCCTGCCCAGAGCAGGGGGGTTGAAGCTAGATGATCTTTAAGGTCCTTTTCAACCCAGGCCATTCTATGAATCTATGATTGGCTCCCTGAAGAAAAAGCGTGAAAGGTGTAATTAGTAATAGTTTCTGAGGTAGGGTTCCCAAAGTATGGAGTTGACGGCAATGCTGAGTATAAATACCGGATTAGTCTCATGGCCAGTAATTTTATCATATCGTAAGCCAGTGTTACACAGCACATCAAAATAATAACCCTATACCAACCCCCAGAAGTGATAAGCAACACGACAGGGAACACATACACTAAGTAATGTGCTATATAACTCAGTTTGGAAAGCGGGCACAGCAGACTTGAGATCACAAAAATCGGCATTGTGATTAGCAACTATTAAACTGATGTAATGCTTATAAGAATCTTGTTTTAACACGCTCTAGTCAGATCTGTTGTTATCTCAATCCCTCGTGCCCCACGTTAGGTGCCAAAAGGACTGTTGTGGTTTAACCCGGCTGGTAGCTAAGCACCACACAGCCATTAGTACACCCTCCCCCCTCCCTCTCTGGGATGGGGGAGAGAATCAGGAAAATGGAGCCTGTGGGTTGAGATAGAGACTACTAATAATGTGTACAAAACAAGTGATACACAATGCAATTGCTCACCACCCGGTGAGAGATGGGCTACCGGTGTGGCTTAGCAAGGACCTGCAGCTTAAACTGAGGGAAAAGAGGGAAATGTACAGGAAGTGGAAGCAGGGTTGTGTAGCCTGGGAGGAACACAGGGGTGTCATCCGGATTTGTAGAGATAGGATCAGGAAAGCCAAGGCACAGATGGAGCTGAACTTGGCAAGATGGAGCTGAACTTGGCAAGGGATGTGAAGAATAACAAGAAGGGGTTCTACAGATACATAGGCAGGAGGAGACAGGCCAAGGAGAGTGTTCCCCCTCTGATAAACGAGACGGGAGAACTGGCTTCCTCAGACATGGAAAAAGCTGAGGTACTCAATAAGTGCTTTGTCTCAGTCTTCACTGGTCTGTCAGGACCCTGAACCTGAAAAATTAACTCTATCCTAACTCTATCCTAACTCTATCCTAGCTGAAACCATGACCAATTTTTACTGTCAGAGATAGGTGTTGTTAGCCCAGTGCTGGGCATGGGACAGCATTGGATGCTGGTGAGAACCAGATCAAAAACCTGGATGCTGGTGTACCTTTTTCTCCAGCTGTAGCAAACTCTGCTTGTGTGTAATGTTCATCACCTTGTTCATGTGTTGTCCAACAGGTACACCCAGACAACAAGGAAACAGAAATGCCTATGGTAAATTCCCACCTTCCTGTGTGCTTGCATTGCGTGGTATTTGTAAAATGCTGCTGGGGCGTTTCCAGAGGTAACATTCCTCTGAGTACAGAAAATCATAGGTGATGAGTGAGCTGCAGGGTGAGGGAAGCAATCCCTTGCTTCTTCCAGGGTAAAGGGCTTTCCCATATCATAAGGACCTTTACTGTTGGAAAGGTTGGGTGTGAGAAAGTTTCAGTCCTGGCAGTAAGAGAGGGTATGTAACAAGAAATCTGGGTAATCAAATGTCTTTTTGAGGGTAAAAAGGGTGTGGTAGGAGTCAGACTACATAAAACGCTTGGTTTCATCCTACCAGTGAGCAACTTCCCCAGCACAGCCTTGGTTACCTAATTTTGTGGGGTGTCCTAGTCCTGCAGTAGCCAGGAATGGGGACATGGATGCAAAAGATGACCATCACCTAAGCCTCTGGGTTTTCCCTTGTAGGTAATGCACCAAAACTTCCCAGCGTCTCAAGTGCCTAATAACACCAGCTGCGCAAAGCGGTCAGGTGGCCCTGCTCCTGACATACAGCAGGCCCTCTCCGCTAGCGAGAGGCAGTGCATAGAGACCATCGTCAACATGGGGTACTCGCCTGAGAACGTCCTGAAAGCCATGAAGAAGGGACAGAACATAGACCAGGTAAGAGTTTTTGCAGGAAGAGAGAAACATTTGAGTGGGTGCTGATTCTGCTGAGAAACAGCCTTAGCTTTGCAAAATGGAGAGGGAGGGCACTTTATTCTAACAGTGGATTGCAGAACTGCCCCAGAAGTTTTCACCTGGCAGAAAAGGCTTCCCAAACCAAAGAACATCTGCATAAGTTTCTGTTAATCTGCTTCAGTCAGCACAGTCTTCCTCGAGTCACAGAACAATCCTTGGGAAGCTTGGTATGGATCCATGCCTTTAGTGCTGTGTGACCAAAAAGCAAAGCACCTTCCCTTTTTGGAGCACAAGGGGTTACTCTGATGATGCCTCTCCCTGTAGAGAGATGGGCCCCTGCAGGCTTACTACAGCCATGAAAGCCTCGTGAGGCACCAGTGACTGACTTTTTGTGTGCTCTGACTATGGTGTTTCTTGCCATGTGTTGCCTCAAACGCTTGCTAAAACCATGTCACGGAGCTTTTCTGCTCTGAGTGATTCAGAATGGAAGGCTAGAGAAGGAAGGCTGTTTGACTGGAGTGAAAGATGAAGTTGATGGGAGAGCACAAAGACAGAAGGACTTGTTTGCTGTTTTTTTGAACAAGCTCTTGCACAAAGAGCGTCTCAAGATAGAGTAAGAAGAGCTTTGTCTCGGTTCCTGGTGAAGTCTGGGATAGAGTTGTGCTCAGTTCCTCTCTGCACGTACCAAGGTGTACGACTCTGTGCTGTGAATGCAGCTCTGCAAACTTCTTTGTTTTGTTCCCTGCAGGTTTTGGATTACCTGTTTGCACACGGACAGCTTTGTGAGAAGGGCTTTGATCCACTTCTTGTTGAAGCAGCTTTGGAAATGCATCAGTGTTCAGAGGAGAAGGTGAGAGTGCCGTGTGCTCCGCAATAGTGAGAATGCACCACAAAGGGGAATTCCAGCACTATGAAGTGGTTGGTGTAATTCTATCTCCATGGTAATGTTGCCTTGTTGTCAAAACTGGCTGCCAAAGAACATTCTTGTGGTGATGAAGGGAATATGTTAAAACATTAGATTTCTTCTGCATTGGTTTATTGGTTTATTACCCTTACTCACATGCATTTTTATGAGGACAAGCTCTTTTTAAAGACCCCGCTTATTTTGATGGCAATGTTCCAAACACAGTGTTGTCTTTTGAGCAAGGTGCTCGGTACAGAGAGAGTTAACTTCAGAAGCAGCAAATTATCATCAAAACCCTTCCAGCTTGCCCTGGCTGTAAATATTCTCCACTGTACAAATTGGGTTAGGACTCTGTCTGAAAGAAGCTGGAAAAAAACAGCTTTTGTGGTTTATGGTGTGGCTGCTTTGCCAGCACCAAAGGTACAGAGGACAGCAGAACTGCTTTTTAGTGCCTGTTGTGTGCTGAGTTATAATGGGAATTCTTTGGAGGTGCAATTCACCCACCTTCCCCCCGACATATACATACAGCTAGTGATGAGCTTGCAAACAGAGAAGCAACAGTGTGAAGATAAGGGAAGTGACAGTGTTTCGGAAACACATTTGCTAGTGGCTTAACCCCCAAATTGGAAATGACTGCTCTCCTGGTTGTCTGTTTTAACCTGGTTTTCCCCTCTGGAGTGGAGGCACTGTAAGTAGCAGAGGGTTCATAAACATTTGAGTTGATTTACTAGTTGTCACTGTTTTAAGAGCTTGGGAAGGATTTGTTTGGTGTTGGTAGTATAGCACATGGTGTTGTGGTGGCTTTACCCCGCTGGGCAGCTGAACTCCACCACAACAGCACTCTTACTCGCCCTCCTCAAAAGAAGAGGGGGAGAAGAAAGTATCCTTCCCCTTTCCCAGCTCTTATTGCTGTGTGACATCACATGCTATAGAATATCCCTTTGTTTGGTTTAGATCAGCTATGTGATGTCCCCTCCCCACCTCTTGCCCACCCCCAGCTTGCTGGCTCTGGGGGCCTTGGAGGAAGTCCTGATGCAGTGCCAGTATTGTGCAGCAATAGACACAACACTGGTGTGATACCAGTGCTGTTCTAGCTACAAGTGTAGAGCACAGCACTGTATGGGCTGCTGCAGGGAAAGTTAACTCCATCCCAGCCAGACCAAGTACAAGTGTCCAGTAGGATTTTTCATTATAGCCCCGTTTTGCCCTAGATCTGAAGAGTCATTTTATAGTTAGGGCTGTTGTACTGTTCTTCCCAAAGTCAAAGTAACTTGAAAAAACTTCATATGCAGCTGGAGCTGCTGGATGGGGGAGCAAAGTGATATTAATCAACCTTTCTGGGAGTCTGAATTGGGACAGGCTGATTAATTTCTACTGAGAGAGACTACCCCAGACTAGGCTTTGGTGTGTTTACTGAAGAGGGTTTGGGAGATGCAGGACTGCAAATGCTGGGAACTGAAAGTGAGGCCCAGAGGGCTGCTGCATGCAGAGCCCTGCCAACTCTTGTTGGAGTGGATTTGCTTCAAACTGAGCGTGTATGGGCTGTGCATGGGAGTGGGATTGTCCCCATGGGGTGCCCAGTCGCTGAAGACCATCTCTGTGCTAAACCCCAGCTCTGACTGAGCCCTGATCTTCTTTTCTCTTGCAAATAATCGTCTGTCTCTTTCAGATCACAGAACTTCTCCAACTAATGAGTCAATTTAAAGAAATGGGCTTTGAACTAAAAGACATTAAGGAGGTCTTATTATTACATAACAGTGACCAACACAATGCTTTGGAAGATCTAATGGCCCGTGCAGGAGCCAGCTGAAAACACATTCCTGGGATCTCGCATGCCAACTTCACATCCAATGTGACTTGGTCTCGGCAGGAAGGAGTCCAGCTTTTCACACACATGGGAGCGTTACTGGGCAAGCCTACCTGCGTGCATCACTCCAGCATTTCTCTTTCCACTGGGAGACAACTTTCTTTCTTACTTTAAATTTTTAAAGTGTCCTTTCCTAAGTTTCCTTTTTTTCCAGCTTGGCCATGGAGAGTTTAAACTGCCCAGCCTCTACTGGAATTGTACATAGGCAGAGACTGGAGTGGTTCCTCCCACTGTTGCAGTGGAGTTGGACAGAAGAATATGAAGTTGGTTCTGAAACCTAGGATGCTTTGGTTCTTTGAAGCTGCTTTCATGGTGTCTGCTTGTACTGAATTACTTGACTGTGTCACAGTCCAAATTAACTGGTTAAATTTGACCTTCAGTGCAATGGAATTTAATTTTTTGGTTGAAAGTTAGCCTATAACTTAGTAAAAACACTGGTTCAGAAACTGTCACTATGCATAAAGAGAAGCTGTTCCTCTTGTGATTGTTTTTAACCCATGCATCCAACACTTCTGCCAGACATGAGTGTCCAATGCTGAGTGGTGTATACGTTCACTTGGAACAGGTAAACCGTGAACTCGGCCTGGACCTGCAACTGCTGTTGGTTCTTGAACCCGAAGGCAGAGAGCTGGGGCTCAGTATTCTTAATCCCCCAGGCTTGTAGAATATTTAAGAAAATGTTCTGCTAGGAAATCAATCATCTTTTGTTTTAAATAATACTCAGTGTGATGCAGGAGGTTTCTTTCAAGCACTTTCTTTAAAACAAATATACTCACTGCATTAGTTCCATTTTCCACATTGCTGTAGAATTACATAATAACATCTAGTACTAGAAATCAGGTTTTGAGTTGTTTTTAATAGTACCGAGTATTATGTTATACATTGTTCAAGTTCTAAATACATAAAATATCATCAGTCTTGAGGAATCTTTAAAGTAATTTGCTAAATATTTTGATTCTGCAGAAGAACAACTAATAAAACGCTCAAATGTAGCTCCCAATGGCATGGTTCCCATCTCTCATGCTCTTTGGCTTCAGCAGATGAAGAACTTGCTAGATCCTGCAAGCCCAGGTGCTGCTATCTCCTGGTTTCAGAAAATAAAAATGTGTAAGGTTCCTGCTATCACCTTTCTACACAGGTTAGCTTTTTAAGGGTTAGGTATAGAGACTGGTGATCTGATGTACAGTTTTACAATGTACTGAGCTGTGTTCCAGACACTTCTTGTGTTGCATTTAACAGTCATGAAGATAAATAGTGAGCTGGGCACCTCATTGATCAGACATAATAGCCCATTTTACAGAGAAACGAGAGGAAAGGGATTATTTCACATCAGGTCATAGGGCTTGTCCAACTTCTGCCTGGCTACAAGTCTGCCAGGTTGCACATGAGCAACAGCAGCAGTGTGTAGCCCAGGCCAAGTGGAACCTCACCTTCCATCACGATGTGGGACGCTGTTGGATAAAATGTGACCTGAAACTCTGATTAAAACTGAAATGGATGCAGTTATTTTTAAGTAGATCTTGTATTAATAATTGTTCTCCAGCTGAGAGCAGAGCTTGCTGCATTTATTCCCAGGTCAGTATCTAAGAAGTTGGGAAGTGTCGGTATCCTTGGGGCTAGGGGCTACAACTACTACCACAGAAAAACGAATCATTCACAAGCTAATTTGGCAGAACTCCAGCTATCTTGTGCATTGTATCTTTGTCCTGCACAGACATCAGCACTAATGAAGATTAGCTCAGCTGCCCTAGCTTATGTTTCTTAAGCGCTTTAAACACTGTGTGGTTCAGTGTGTGGCTTGGCAGGAATCTCTCCTGCAGCCACAGTTTCATGTCTGGAGAAGTTGCAACCGTCTGAAAGTAGGAGAGAAACTGATATGGGAAGTCCAAGCTAATTGCATTGCTCTAAGCAAGGTCATGCTGTGAAATATACTCCGTAGTGTTAAGTTATTCACCCACTGCTGGGAGGCCTGCCATGATTGTCAGAATTCTGCTAGCCAGAAAATGATTGCCTGCTACAAGGGGCATATAATGGCAGGGCGTGACCAACAATTAGCAAGAAAAAATCTCAAATGCAATAAAATGATGATGATGATGATGATGATGATGATGATGATGATGATGATGATGATGATAATAATAAAGGTTGCTTTGTATCATTGCATTCTCTGCCACAAAACTACTACAGCTTATGGCTCTTATGCTGCTTTATGAACTTGTGTGTTATCTGGTAATACAGCGCATGCAGCTGTGTAAGAAAAATCTTAATAATTTTCTTCAGACAGGATCTTCTGTGAAGCTATTTTATTCGCGATTGCAATGGTGGGCGTCCTGGCAATTAGGAGCGCATTATAGTAAACAAATCATAACCTTTTATTCCATACTACCCGACACCTGATCACGTCCCCTGTTTCCTCATTGGCTGAGTACTACAGGTTCACAAGCTACTCGACGCTCCTCTATACCATATATGCACAATATTTTTGCTCAACCCTTTAATTTCTCCTTTTTCCCTTTAATTTCTCCTTTCTTATGCTTTGAGAACTTATGATCTTTGTTTTACTGTTCTCAAACTGCTCATCCTATTTTTCTCAAGCTTCTGCATTATTTTGGAACAGTGAGGCCTCCTGCTGACCAATTATCTACTTAGCATTTCTCCTTGTTATGACTACACAACTACCTTTGAATACAGAAGGTTAGTTTTCTACTGCAAAAACACGCTCTACTTCAAAAACATGTTCTACTGCAAAAAAAACAACTTTGTTTCTCACAATTCCCCCCTCTTCTTTTCTTACTCCTCTTTGTACTTCTTCACATACCGCACTCTTGAGTTTTTCCAACACTGAGGTGCAATATTCTTCTTCGGATGTCACGGGAGATGATAGATATACAATGCCATTATTATTACAATACCAACAAATAGTTGTCTGAGCCAATTCTGTTCAGGTAACCACGATGTTAGTTTCTCCCAAATGTTTCTAAATCCCCAGAAAGTGTCATCTTGAGCCACTCTACGTAGGATCTTGTTTTGCTTTTTTTTCCCCCAAATATTTTTGAGATTAGTCAAATCCGTCCCATTTGATCTACATATATACAGCAACTAGTATTAATTACAGTGCACGCTCCTCCTTATGAGGTTATTAATAAATCTAATGCTATTTGATTCTAGAGTACTATTTTTGCAAACTTATCAAACTTATTTTCTAGTTCTTCAATATATTTACAATATTTTTGTATTTTGAGAAATTTACAATGTCTTTTTCTAATTCACTCACCCCTAAACAAGATAAAAACCACTTTGCAAAACTGTGAAATGCTAGAGAATTTTACTAAAGGATTATCTGGAATCCGCTTAATTCCACGTGTGGTCTCAAGGGGGCTTCGGCTTTGTGGGGGTTCAATAATAGTTACATTTGGAATTATTGCCTCCAGGGTGCAAGCTCCCTTCCATCCTAGGGGCAACACCTTCCTGGCTTTATTGCCACATAGCCAGTACCACCCCTTGATATTTGGAACAGGCCTTCTGGTTACAGGATTCTCATGTTGTATCTGGTGTGCATTATGTATATTAGCGTTCCCATGGCTACTATATTCGGTATACAGTATAGATTATTCCCTACTTCATGGATATTTCCACACCCAGGGTCAGTAATATTGCCTCCTGAGTTTTCTATCAATGTTGTTTAAAAGGCACCTTTGATAACACAGTATGCTGTAGCCAGGACTATGTGTAGGGAGCTCAACTTCAAAATCTATTCCTTCCCGGGACTGAGTAAGATATCTGAGTAATATATACACCCCTATAATAATTAGGAAATAATAATTCAGAAAAACAATAAAAATCACAAACTGATAAGTATTATACAGTCCTCCTTATCTTAGACCCCTTGATTAAAGTCTGAACCATGAGGTTTTTTATCTGGTTCTCGGGGTCCGAGAGGCTCCTGTTATCTGGTGGTATAAGTGCAGCACAGGCACAAATGTAGCACATATTCATTCTTAATCAATTGCTCTCTAATTTCTAATTCCAATGTTTCAGCTTGCTCTTTTCTGGATCCACGGGTATTCTACTATTAATGTTCAAAGCCTGACAGACCCCGTCCTCCGTGGATCAAAATACAGGGGGTCTTAAGGGTTCTTTTGGTCATTCTATCATAAAATACTGGATCATTTTTAATTTACTCTTTAATTTTCTGGGGCCCCTATTGTTCCAATTTCTAATCATTATTCATAATGGACTTTTTGGTCATATATCTGGTAATTTGCTCCCTTTCTGGTCCTTGGTCTTCGATTTTATCTGACCCATCCGGGAATTTTACTAGTGGCAATTCCCACAGCCCTTGGTTGCCCAGTGAGAGTGTCTTGCAGGGGGTTTAGGACCTATCACCCACCCACGTATCCCTCTTCTCACCAGTCCAGCCCCCCCGACAGGAGATTAGAACCAGTGAGAAAACAAAAAGACCTCCACGCTGACTTTAGAAGTCTCAGTTACACTCTCACACACAAAAACTGGCAACCGTACCTTTACCCAACCGGACGGTATCTTACGAATCAGTCGTCTTCGTCCAGACTCCAATCGGACGGTATCCACCAGCGTCTCTGCTGTCTTCGTCTGGGATCGAACCAGACAGTATCCAAACGACTGTCGTCTTCATCCGGTTCGATCCCGGACACCAGAATCCAACCGAACGGTATCCAAACGACTCTGTCGTCTTCGTCCGGATCTTCGCACGCAGAATTACGGGCAAAAAAAACAGCCGGCAAGGGAGCTCAAAAAAATCATATTCTTTGCTTACCTTTATTCAGGTTCAGGATGGCATTAGTCCCGATCTGACTCAAACAGGAGCCACCAAATGGTGGGGCGCCTCTCCTAGATTAAATCAGAATTCAGGAACTATAGCCATCCCGGACGAGCCCCCAAATTGTTATAAATGGCTCAGGATTCAAATTAGGATTAAATAAAAAATAGGATTTATTAAAAGAATATAAAGGAATAGAGGTAAGCAAACAGCTCTGGGTGCACCGGGAGTCTCCGCTCCACCAGGACGCACACCAGTTACATCAAGCAGCTGATTTTTATGCACCTAGACTAATACATATTCATTACTACTTCTAAAAAAATAGATTATTATAATTAGCTTCCGGGGTCCAGTTCCTCCTACTGGAGCATGCGCATCAGTCTCCTCTGGGGGTCTCTAGGGGTCTTTCATGCTGAAGGCTCGTAGTCTTCCTCTCACCTTTGTACTCGGCACAATTCCAAGTTTATAGAACACTTTCTGCAGGTCTTGTCTCCCAACCGTCCTTCAGCTTCTTTTTCCTTCCTCTTAATCTCTTGGCCCCCTGGCCAGATACCAAAGATCCACATAGTATCCCATAACAGTCACTAGATGTTATCAGTTGTTCTGAAACTCCCAGACATCAAACACAAACAGCTTTCATTAGTAATTAAAACATTCTTCCCCAGCCATTCACAGACACATCTATAGCAGTGTTAAGTTAATCTCGAAGAAGACAGGAAAAAAGGCTGTAACTGTTAGAAATAGAAGTCCGGAATAACAAAAGCAAACAGGTTCATAAATTTAAGGAGTGTTTTCTGAAGACGTGATAAATTGACTAGAATGAGGGGGAGACTGGGACACACTGCATCTGTGGTTCAAGAATTAAATTGCCAGTGCAGGACCCAGAGGCAGACAGGATTCAAACAGAATTGTTCTTTATGGACACGAATTGTTAACACATTCCTCACGTAAGGATTCTTCTGGTGGGGATCGAATATCCCCCTTTCTTTTTCTCCCACTTCCAGGGAGTGTTCCCTGGAAACACTCCAATTCTGTGTAATTCAATCCCTTTTACTCATTAATTCATTAAGAATTCTTCTAAGGAGAAGTTAAACGTTTACAATAGATACTTTCAACAGTTTTAACCTTAAAAGTCGTTGTTAATGCAGTCTCTCAGGTATCAGGGTTAACTGATGCTTTTACCCAGGAATGAGTCCACCCTCTCTCAGCCGTTCTTACTGTTGTTTCAGTAGTCAGGAGCACTTGGAACAGTCTGTCCCAGTCAGGTTGCAGTTTCAATTCTCTCTATGTTTGCATCAGATCCCAATCTCCTGTTCGGAATGGATGGATCAGGACTTCCAAGTGTGGGAATATAAATGTTGTTTTTGCAGTGTTACATTGTTTAGAAGGAGGGAGTGTGGTACTGAGATATGCTTACAGTGATAAGAAAGCTTAGCAGGCGACCTTGTAAAATGCAGACAACCAGACTCCTTAGGACAATTAGGTGAAAATCACGGTGTTAAGTCAAGTCAGATAAGTGAAGAAACATTACCACTTCAAGAAGTAAAAATGACAAAAGAAATTTGAAATTTAACAGGCTGGCCACTGAAGGCCATGCATTGTTTGTGAAGCATCAGATAGACTGTGAACCTGGATTACCCACTCAGTGGGGAAACAGGGGAGGGTCCTGTCATCAAAAAGTATATGAACTGTGTTTTGGAAGTAGTAGAGGCGCGCTCTCCTGCTTGTGGGGCGCCCGCCATTGCAATCGCGAATAAATTACTACTTCTGAGCCTAAGTTATTGGCTACAGAGTGTTTCTGACAATTTGGGGGCTCGTCCGGGATCCAGTCACCTACTGGGGAGCCCCACTGCCGCAGCAGCAGGAAGGCATGCCCCGCTGATTTCAGTGGTCCTGTGCATCGACGGTGGAGTTTCTGCGGAAAGCTGACAGAGGGCCCGAGAGTGGTTAAAGAGGCAGGATCCATGAAGTAGTGGGGAAGGGAAGAAGGTAGGCACTCCGGGTTTTTAAGAATCGATCCGGTAACTCTATGCACAGACCAAGGTAAGAAATATTAAGTATTGCCTTGGGGGTTGCGTGAGACTCTGTGTGATGTGTGAGTGAGACGTACTTCTGTACGAAGCGAGCATGGAGTCCTGATCCGCGGTTCCGTAGCTCCGCGAGGGGTGTGGCCGGAGACGGACAAAGTGTGAGATAAAGGAGAGAAAGGAAGAGTCTCGGGAATTTTGGTGTATGGTAAGCCCTCGCACCGGGAAGTGCTGGCACTACACCAGGGAAATTTGGTGTATGGTAATCCTTGCACAGGGAAGTGCTTGGAAGTACACCCCCATTTTCCAGAATCGGAACATTAGTGTGTGGTACACTGCAGAAGGGAAATTTCTGT